ATAGCTAGGTGGGGACTAGATCCTTAGAGCCAAAGTCTTCACTTCCTCTGTTTTTCTTTGTGATCTATCAATCTCACCACACTTGGAACCACCCACTCCCTTGAAGATTGATCTGAAGTTCCTAAGCATCAAATATAGACCTGTCAGACAGAAGCATCTGTAGTGCTTCTGAATGGCATTGTCGTGAGGATGAGCAGCAGTGATGTGGCGAACGTGACTGGGGAGCGGGAGAGCGAGGGCAGGGAAGAAGAGATCCCAGTGCAGACAGCTCCGGAGACTGTAGAGGGCTGAATTCTTGACGGACAGTCAGCAAGGGAGCTGTGCTCCAAGTGCCCCTTAAATTTGGAAGACATTGCCAGAGATCAGGCCGGAGGATCTGAGAGTGTCAGTTTGCACTGGCCACAGAAACTCCTGCTCAGATCTGAGTTCTGATTCAAGGGAAAGATGGAAGCACTGAGGAGCAACTGGTGACGTCATTATTTAGCCCCTGATTTCCACAGCAGTCCAAAACATAAAGGCCACACGACCCGGAGCTGACAAAAGAAGTTAAAGGAAGATTTAATGAAATTTGTAATTTTGCTACGTCTGATTCAGCCCAAGCAGAATGCTCCATTTAGAAAAAGGGGGGAGGTGTTGACTACAGTAATGGGAAGGAATCTTGGGAAATAGGAAGGGGGAAATAAATAGCTCTTAGTGTCGGTAGAACTGTTTGTGAAACACGAATACTATACTGGACAGCAGAGTCTGGTCTGTCAGTCCTGATCACTCAGAACAATCTAAGACCCATGGTGTATACACTGAGTCACTCAGAGTGCTTGAGCATGGAGAACAGGATAGTGTGAAAGAGGACGTGTGTGCAGACCAGCGTCACACGGAACCGCCAAAGGCTACCCCGTGAGCGTAGCTTCTTTTCCTTCTCACTAGATTTTTATTCTCATGTTTTGATGTTTTGTTTCAATCCTTTCAAATTTCCCTCCCTAATTTAAACCTAAGACAGAACTTCATGACCATCCTCATCACTAATATTATCTATTGTGCACTGGCATTCTGGAACCAGTGTGGGTGTTTGCTCACTGTTTTCACAAACAGACGTCTGAGGCAGGTGTGCTGATCACGTCATCACACAGAGGAAGGGATGTGACCGTGAGAGGCTGTGTAGTCTGCATAAGGTGACCTGGCTCCCACAGCTCTGTGTGTGTGGGGGTGATGTCCATGCACACATGCCCACAGACCGGGTTTCTGTAAGGAAATATGGACTTAATCATTTAAAGGCTTTGTCAACATACCAAAGATATATTGTTTAAAGTATAAAATAAGTTTAAAGGCTTGGCTTAAAAAGGTCTCATTTCCTAAGAACTCGTATCTGGAAAAACCTCTCCTGCAGTTCATGATGCTGGTTACAGGGCAGACATAAACAGGTCATCTGCATTCCCTGAGAATCGGGACTTTTTGCTTCATTTTGACTATGTTTTATTTCTCCTATCTTTTTTTTTTCATTTTAAACAACATTCACAAATACTTTATTTTTGAGCAGATGAAAACAATTGAGAAGTCATAAAAATTCCACAACAGTTAAACAATATCAGAGCAAACTCTTTGTTATATTTTTAATACAGAATCACCATGTGTCCTGTATGTAATGTCCTAAGAGTTTTCTAGCACCACCAACACCCCACCCCTTTCCTTGTTGATCTTGGATCAGATCAGCAGATACTTAGCTCTTCCTTCATTTCTAGTGTTTTTCCTGTTTGAGCTTGCTTTGTTGGTCTGTCAGCTCAGAATTGAGTCCTGCCACCTTGTATGATGATTTGTGGGATTGCAGTGTGTCTGTGACTGTCAGGTTTAGTTCCCCTCCTGTGCCTCTGTCTGGATTGACCCCACTTTTTAGAGACTGGTTGGAAAGCAGGAAGTTTCTGTGTTTTGTAGTAATTTGCTTATCTTACTTTCAAGTCTGAAGGACTCTGCACCAAAGTCACCTGAATTTACTTTTTTTTTTTTTGGCAGTAGGGCAGGGTATAGCTCTTTAGTTCTCATTTCTCTCAGTCCCCCCTCCACATACATAAAGGGTTACCCTAAAGTTTTTAAGCCTGTCCTACTCTTGTAGACCAGGCTGGTCTTGAACTCACAGAGGTCTGCGTGTGCTGAGATTAAAGGAGTGCACCATCACCAGGCTAGTTCGCTTTTCTTACAGAATGAGATGTACTAATTTACTGGTTTTAGAAAAAAGAAGTTAATTGTTATCGAGATGTGAAATATATGAATAAATGATGTTTGTAGTAGTTGGTCGGTTGTGCTACAGCCATACTGTATTTTAAAATCGTGCATCTTTGACACATCATATTTCTCCTTCATGTTCAGAGACGGTCTTGCTGTATAGTCCAAGCTTGCCTCACGTTGGTCATGTCTTAGTGGAGTAGGAATACCATAGAATGCCATCTGTACAGTCCAAGCTTGCCTCACGTTGGTTATGTCTTAGTGGAGTAGGAACATCACAGAATGGCATCACACGGAGGTCTCCCTTTTCTGATTCTCGGTGTTGATTATATCTTGGCCAAATCTTCTACTTGAAAAGAAGTCAGATTTTCCAAGGTTGATTGATTCACTTCATTGTGTTACTCAGAAAACAGGCTTTTCATCTCATTCTTTCAGGGGCGGCAAGTACTAACAGCACTGTGCTGCTCTGGTTAGGGCTCCTCTGACTCGATCCCATCCTGACAGATGGGACCAGAGTGGTGTGCATTTGAGAAGAAAGATCACAGAACAAGGCTGAAAGCCGTAAGGAATTCAGTCTCCTATAACAGCTTGCAATCACCCAGATACGATGGCATATGTTTGTAATTCTATCACTTTAGAGAATTTCTAACTCAAATCCAGTGTAGGCTACATGGTGAGATCCTATCTCAAACAAAATGGGAAAAACAACAACAACAACAAAAAAAAACCAACCCCAAATCTCTTTTGCAGATCTACTCAGGGCCCTTCAAGAGCTATTTTTATCCCTTCCAGTGACACAGCCACAATGGCTTCATGACCTCCCCCTCGCCTCCACCTCTCTGAAACCTCAACAGCCTAGCACCATGTCCTTTGAAGCAAACTTCTAACACACGAGTCCTTTGGTGAAAAAGAACTCTGAAATCACACCCAACCACAGCAGGCACCATCGGTGTGACTGGACGTATCTTCTGTGCGTCCAACCACAGCAGGCACCGTCGGTGTGACTGGACGTATCTTCTGTGCGTCCCAACCACAGCAGGCACTGGCAGTGTGACTGGACGCATCTTTTCTGCATCCAACCACAGCAGGCGCCGTCACTGTGACTGGACGCATCTTCTGTGCATCACTCTGCTTGTCATGTGTTAAATATTAAGCCACTTTGGTACCATTCTTATCCTATGGATCTTATACCACACACACGCACACACATGCACACACACTGTATCCATAACCTGATAGGTTAAAAGTTTTCCTGTACAGTTTTACTTGTTCTTCAAAAAGCAAATGTTCCTAAGTACTTAATTTGCTCCTTTCTGAAGTTGATGTTAGCTTAGCTACATTTGAAAGAATGAGAAATTAAATAATAAAAACCTCAGCTTTAGATCAAGATGAATCCCTCAGTGTCTTAAATGCTTGAAATAAAACTTTCATATAGTTATTACGGAAAAGCCCCACGGACCCACTGTAATTATATTTTGAGTTTGTTTTAATGAGCTTATCTTATATGTATGTATGACTCCGTATGTTTATGTCCTCTGTGTGTCAGCTGTCTGGATCTCATAGATCATAATTTCCAAATTAAATAGTTCCAATAGCATGGAGTTTGACTGATCCTTGACCCCCTGTGTGGTTTGAGATGGAAGATGGTTTTAGATGGTTCTAGATGTAAGAACGCGTATCGACTTGCTCCTCTGCCCACTGTCATCTGTCTTTAGATGGGCTCAGCTTTCTCAGAACTGATTTCTCCAGCGGGCTATCTGGGTTGTCTGGAGGACATTCTGCCCCGTGCTGAAGTGGTGGTCCTTACAGGGTGCCGTGACAGGATGATCTGCCTTCTGCCGTGGTGCTCGGCTCTCCCGTCCACAGCCACTTCATTCTTTCCATCTCCTCGGTGACTAACCTAAGTGCAGGGCATCACAGGGGCAACAGAAGCTCAGCATGAAGGGCGAGGCTACTCTGCTGTGGGTCATAAGTGGTTGCCGTCTGATGTCCACTCAAATCCCAGGCACAAATCTGAATTGTGGATATGATGATTCCAGCAAGATCCTTGAATGCTTTATGAAACCTGCAGCCCCTCAGTCACCCAAGCCAAACGGACACAGAATCACTTGAGCACTCATTTTGTCTTGTCAGTGAGGTGATGCCTTACAGTAAGAGAGCAAACTGTTGAGAAAGCTTTGTGCTGTTCCCCATATAGACACGAGTGAGGTAGAGAGAGGCACTGTTATTGGCATGCTAACTTCTCATACTTGAGACATAACTGCTTATTATCTTAGTGCTTTAAGGCACAATTGTCTTTTTAAAGTTTTACTTTGACTATGTTTTTGTTAATTTATAATTTGTATTTAAATATAGTCAGTTCCTGAAGACTAAAAAATATTTGTATGTATACATGTGAAAATTCCAGTTGTTAATTTCACTGTCGTGGTTTCGAGTGTTTTCAACTCACATAGAGTAAATAAGAACTTAAATTCATTTGTGAAAACCTTGGGATTAGAGTTTTGTTATGCGTCAGGATATATAGTCAGTGAGGAAATTGACACCCAACAAACTATAAACATGTATTTGTTTTAATGCATACATGTTTGACATAAACCTAAAGATGAAGGTGGTTCTATTGTGGTTAAAATGGGGAGTGGTGGAGCATACACTTGCATACACTATAAAATCCATTCACTTGTCCTCTATTTGTTTTGTCTAGGAGGTAATGGTGACTTTGAAGTAGAAAAATATTGATCCATTTTTTATAGCCAGAGGGATATTAATACATTTCCACTTTTTTCCAGCACACTGATTTATGTCAGTACATGGACAAGCACCCCGGAGGGCTCCATCCAGAGAATGTGAAGGTAGGAAAGGGGATGTGAGGACCAAGGGTTCACATTCTTCATGTGGAGTTTTGAGTTCAAGACGAACATCTCTATGATCATTTGAAAGGTTTTTTTTTTTTAAATCTTATGTATGTAGGACATCAAATTAAAAAGAATTAGTTGTTATTTTAGTTGGGGGAATTAATAGTGTTTCAATGTTAAATAGTTTTACTATAAAAGCATTTAGATTGTTTTCTGTACTTTCTGGTCACTTTTGCATAATATCTTTTATACAATAATTTACATGATAATTTCAGTAACTGAGTTAAAAGAGTGTTTGTGATATATAAGCTGAGAGTATTTGCTCAAGTTTTAGCAAAAAAGAATATATACTTTGTTTTTTCTTTAGATGTTTACTGTATTCTACTCTTCTTGAGTTTTTAATCTTGGTTTAAAGGATGTTTTCATGAAAAGCAAAAGATGAGAAAAAACTGACTAAAACACAGAGGTTTATTGATTTGTATAATTAATGTTTTCAATATTTTCAACATTGTGCTAAAATAAAATATCAGTCTCAAATAGAAAAAAAAAAAGGAAGGAAGGAAGAACCACACCAGCAAAGGAAGATGGTGGGTGCTGGTGGAGTAACAGTTTGAAATTTTTGATGCAAAATTATTTGCAACCTGGCACTACATCCCGACCATCAGGTGAAGAGTGTGGGTAAACTGTAGTCGTGCCCAGGATAGTGCTAGCACGACAGCGATGTGATCCATTTGGATCCCTCATTTCACAGAAAATAAACATCACAGCGACTGAGATTGAGACATATGTTAAAGGACCTTAGTTCTGTGTTGAATGTTTATTTCCCTGTGGTACAAAATTAATACATTAAATTACTGTTGTTAGCTGTATTATGACTTTATTAACAATTGGTCATATAGGTTTATTCCCATTTTTATATTGAAGATAATAGTGTTCTCTTCTCTGAAGTTACAAAACATTAGAAACTGAACACAGTGAGTTTGAATGCCCTGTGTTCTGGCATCTGACATGCAGACCATGGATGCTGACAGCTTCAATTCCTTGGGAGGCCACTCACCTATTTATATGTTGGCTTTTACTCACTGTTTGCTAAGAGACAAGTCACTCCTCCAGGGTTACAGTTAGGATTTACACTGCACGTGAAATTAGTCTCAAAGATGTCTGACAATGGCATGGTGACAGATGTCCCATTGGTATTTCTGTTCGATGTATTAACGTATTCTTTCATGTGGTGATATTTATTGTCACTTAAGTCTATGAACATAAAATGAAGAACATAATAATAATATTTGCTAAATTAACAACTGTTCATAATGCTGTGTTGGAGATTGATTAAAAGGAAATCATTTGAACTAAAACCAAGACACTAAAAGAATTCTACATTTTTAGAAGATTTGAAAATGAGGTGAAATGTTATTATCTTTAAAGAGTATGTCCTGGACTGTTAAGATGGTTCAGTGAATCAAAGAACTTGTCGGGCACAGGCTTGTTGACCTACTTAGAATCCCAGGATCCTGGAATGGAAGGACAGCACACACTCCAAACTTTGTCTTCCACACCCCTGCTGTAACGAACATGTTCTCACATTCACATACAATTTGCACGTTATTATTATTATTATAACAGTAAAACATTTAAACCAAAGTATTGGCTCGAAGGCTGTGTCTTTTTAACTCATCTAACGCTCAGTGTCTGGCTCAACATGTCAGATGTCATCAAATGATCGGAAGATAGTGCTCGGTATGTATTATGGTTAAAAAAAGAGAAGAGAAATGATCAAATTCTTTTGCATACAGATTTCTCGGTTTGCAGCTTGACAATGTGTAGAAATGTTTTAGATATTTATCTTAAATTTACATTCTCTCTTTGTTTTTACTTCTTCCATATTTGTTGGTTATAAAATGTCAACGTCAGGATAGGGAAATGGCTCCGTGGGCAAAAGCACTTGCTACCAAGCCCAGCCACCCGAGTTCCATGTCTAGGACCACCATGGTGTAAGGAGAGAGCAAGCTCTCAAACACACAATGTCACACTTGCCTTCCCCCATAAACATACATGCCAATAATATAATTGATAAGTCAATACACTTGTGAATTGAGGGGCTTTCTCTTTGTTTGATTTGGGCAGAATTTCAGGTACCACAAGCATAATGTGTTGTGGGGGAACAGAGAAAAAGAAGGGGCATCTGGACTGCCCTGTGCCCTCCAACTCTGCAGGAGCATCTGTAATATTTTAAGTTCATTTGGTACTAATTTTAAGTGAAAAATTTGTGGAAGCTTTATTGTTTCTGTGTAGCATTCCTGGTAAGTACTAGAATAAGCTCAAGAAAATTAGTCAGTATTAACTAAATTTCCCAAACCGTGCTGCCACTTAAATTGCCTGCAGAATGTATCTGTTATTAATATGGCATTCTGAAACAAATGTTAACTCTTAACTAATAGTTCATTTCTAAGCATTATATACATTTTTGACAAATGAGTAATTTCAGCAATTAGTTACCAAGAAGACGATTTTAAACCTGATGTTAAAGCCTGAGGACAGGGCCTTATTATAAATATTTATGATGATTAAAGACATGGCAACCCATTTCTACAGCACGGAAATTGGCATGTGGGAACTTCTTAGCTTTCTTGGAGACTACATATTTTTCCACATTTTAAACACTAGCTACCTTACAGCATATTAGAGTTTGGTCATGATTGAGTCACACACAAGACTCATCTCAGTTTATGATCTTATACCTATTAGTGAGTTATAGATTGGCCCTTGAATTTTTTAAACAACTGAAACAGTTTAAATGTCTCATTTTATTCTGGTTTCATGTATTTAAAAATTGATTAGCCCGAGAGACTGGAAATTAAGGTTCATGGAAAAAAAGAAAAGATTAATTGATGCTGTCTCTAGCTGGCAGACATACATATAGATGATGGTATCTTATTATCATGATGAGATTGAGTCTTCCTGTGTTTCATGTAATGTATTTCCATTTCTGTGATATAATGACCTTTCTAGATGATTCTTTACAAAGTTATATTTCCCGTCTTTTAAAAAAAAATAACTGAAAATGTCCAGAGTAATTTTGAACTCCCTGCCCTATTCCCTGAAGTATCTGCAATCCTCTTGGTATAAAAACTAGCTCCTGGCTTTCATTTCAGCTAAAATATGAAGTTTATTGTGGTGAACAGTGGCTGTCTTTCTTCTGTAGGTCAGAGAACAAGCAGGTGTATAACAGATAAAATAATGTTATGCCAAATTAAGGTTGTCTTATACAGATGGCACTGAGAATTGATTCCTAAATGAGACTCTCTGATGCTTAGAGAGGAAACCAAATGGCACCTGATTTTCTCCACAGTCTTCATTAGAGCTCTCATTGACCTAGTAATGACACCTTCTGATGCATATTATAGAGGCATATTATAGAGTTTTTCCTAATTCTATATGTTGGGAAATATGATGTTTTTCAAAAAATGTATTTTAAAAAAAATTCTATATACATTATTAGTGCTTACCCAGGAATTTCCTGAACACTTTTGTCCTATTTTTGTAAAAAAATTATACTCCCTATTTAGAAATTAAAGGATTGGTAGAAAATAAAGTTATAATAAAATTGGGCATATCAATCCATAGTGTATTAGACATGCAAGGGGCAAGTAAGAAGTATATTTTATGATTAACCAGTGAGGCCAACATTCAATGGAATCATTTGTTGATATACTTGTTAACCACTTGGGTCTGATAGAGAAATCAAGGCCAGCTAATTAAATAGTACATTCTTCAGTTGATCTAAAACTCAAACTTAAAGCATGGTAGGATGCAGTCTCAGAATCAGGCATGCTATATGTAGTTATAGGGCAGCCCAAGTGGACGTTCCCATTGGGAATAGGGGAGATGCCATCCTGGAATTCAGACTTTAATCAGATTATCCTCTCTGCCTCTCTCCATTCTGCGATGGACATAGCACAGTACATTAGTGTTCTATGTTTCCACCTCTCTCCATTCCGTGATGGACGGAGCATAGTACACTAGTGTTTTGTTCATCAAAAAGGACAAGATGCCCATCAGGGAAACCAGCAGGTCCAGTGGAGTTGCACACCGGATTCAGCATTCAGCACTTTTTTGATTGTCTTGGCTAAGCATGGCTTTTGTGTGACAAGCCAGGAAAGCCCATAGGTATTATCTCATCATTATGTAATCTCTATTATTTCACATGCCTCTGGGAAGTTGTTGAAAGAAATTCATTGGTCGTATATACCCAAACTCACAGTTTTAATTATTACATTTCACTTGGAATTATTTTTCTCTGTCGTGTAGCTTCCTTTGATGAATATTCTCCAAGACTTTCAGGCTTGATTCATTATTTGTTAGTCTTCTGGGCTGTATCTTTATCTCTTTCTTAAGTTTATATTACCCTTCTCGATTCATATCAAGATATTTCATGCTGATCTAGTCTCTAAGATGTTATAGACATAAAAATCATTGAAATGTAAGTGCTTGTTCGTTTTCATTGTGTGGAAAAGAATTTCCACTAAGTTTCTAAGTGTGGGATGTTAGCAATTCATTAACGAATCCTTGTGTTTTGGTCAGTTTCATGTCAACTTGAAACAAGCTGCAATCTTTTGGGAACATTTCTCAGCTGAGAAAAATTCTCCCTAAAGTTGGTGTATAGGCAAGCCTGCCCAACTCCTTGATTAAAGATTGATATTGGAGGGTCCAGTCTACTGTGGGTGGTGTTGCTCCCTAGGCAGGGCTGTGTGAGAAAGCAGGCTGAGCAGGCCATATGTGAGCATTTCTCCATGTTTCTGTTTGGAGTTTTTGCTCGGATTTCTTTTCATGATTAATTGTGGTATGCTACTGTCAACTGAAATAAATCCTGACCTCCCCAAGTTGCTTTTCGTTATTGTATTCAGTTACAGCAATAGAAACCCTAATTAAGACCCATGGTTCTCTGCGCATTTTTTTTTTTTAATCATAGCCTCGTAGCTACTGGAAGCCTATTT